AACGAAGCTCTGTGCAGAACGATCAAGTTGAAAGCTGCATGCTTGCGCAAAGGATTGCTCTGATGAGAACGCAGGTGCTTGAGGAGCGAATCAAAAGAAAAGGAGACTACAAGCTAAGCAGGTAAGAGGAAAGGCGAAAAGGAAGAAGGAAGCATCGTAGTAGGGGAGCAAGGAGGCGCCGTCCTCCTTGCGCTGTGTAGAACTGCTGAGCGACAGATTGAAGAATTTGTCGCGAAGACGCGGCTATAAAGCCGCGTTTCGGGTTAAGAGGTTCTCGTTAAGCAGAGAACCTCTGTTTTCGACTAACTACGAACGTCGAAAACTATCAATTTTAAGTGAAATGGCCGGGAGTTACCAGTATCGCGTACTTCGCTTAAATTGGCATACGGTGGACGACGGCATATGCGCCGAATGTTAACACGCACAGACATCTTCGCTATTTTTGCTTTCTCTTACTTTCGCAAGCCGCCTTGTAACAGAGCGGACAATACGATAACAAGAGGAGGAGGGGCTCATATGTGCTGAGGGCCAGCAGGTGCGTCAATATGCATATATGGATGGGCGTGCCACGATAGTTTCTCGTCGACGGTGCGTGCGAGCTGATCGACTCCTTGTATGCGCATCAAATCCTTACAGACGGAAAACAACGCAGAATGCTCGTTGAATTGCTTCGTCTTAAGTCCGTCAGGCGCGCTCGAGGCGTCAATCAAATGAAAGACCCTTTCAATATCTCTTCCTGTCAAGAGAAGGTCCAACTCGCTGCAAGACGTGCAGAGGAAGGCGACCTAGGGGACCTTGATCTATATACGTTAAATGTTTTCCAGCTTGTCCATTCAGATGCTTGATACTACATGTTAACGGGCGGTCTGACATATCATAGACGCAACTGGGACCTCGCCTTCTCAAGAACCTCTTTCCGGATCTTTGGGTAGTTCGGAGACGCCTTGATTACCTGTACCGAAGAGAACAAAGAAGGGTTAAAAGTAGCTCCCTAACTTCCTGGAATATCAGTCCGCGACAGCCAGAGAGGACTTAGGAACAGGCTTTCTCAAAATACTTAGTTTTGAGCCGTCCGATTCTCACCGGTACCTCTAATGCCTATTTTTCGGGTTTGTGATGGCCCTCATGAGGCTAGAGAAAAGAGCCGAAACGCCAGAATTGATACGCACGCGACTCGAGTCCGCGCTCAAAAACAAGCACGCAAACCCACAAGCAAGAAAGAAAGTTCCGTGGCCCCGATTTCACATCCCCGCAAAGCATCGCACGACAAAATCCTAACCATACGTGGTCTCACCTTATGGCATACGTCGATCGCCTCCGTCAGCCGCTTCGCCTTGAGATACGTATACGCCAGCCGGTAGCCCACGCTTGGGCTGGCCTCGTTTGTGTGGCGCCACGCGTTCTCGTATTTCTGCGCAGCGTCCTGGTACGACTGAGTCTTCTCTAGGATCTGGCCCAAGTATTCCCAGGCCTTGCCGCACGACTGGTTGTACCGGATGCACCGCGTGCACAGGTCCTGCGGCGGAGAATCAGGGCCTTTTGACGGGTGGGGCAGTTGCAAAGAGCCCTTCGAATGGAGTTTTACTTTCAAGAATGGGAACATCTGATGTAGCAGGACAGTTGAACACCAACAATCTATACTGAAACCGCTCCTGTGGTTATGGATCACAGCGACCCCTTGGTCATGTCAATGAAGGAAAGGCGCAGCAAACCACAAACGAAAATCGAAATTGAGGAGCGCACAACCCGCTTCAGGGATGCTGCTTCTATGTCCGCCAAAAACTTGTCTTTCCACCCTACGTACAGACCGTATTTCCACTTACACGACCTTCAAGTCGGCGCTAAGAGCGCATTCTCACCTGCGCCGCGTCGTGCTTCCCCCCGTGGATGTACACGTCCGCGAGCATGAGCCAGCCCCGCTCTAGTTCGTCCCCGTCCTCCGCCGAGTAGCTCATCTGCTGGATGCGCTTCAGGATGTTCTTAGCCTTGGGCGACTGCTTCAGCAGCATGAACCCGGTCGCCATCGCCAGCAGCCCCGGCGCCGACTCCATGTCCTCCTTCACAACCTGGGAGAGGATAACCAGATCCTGCTGACGTTATCATTCAGAATCTGCTGACGTCACCGATCTGCTGACGTGAGATTCTGCGAGAGTACAAGGATGAACCCGGTCGCCATCGCCAGTAGCCCCGGCGCCGACTCCATGTCCACCTTCACAACCTGAACGGACACATTGAACGTCTGCTGACGTCATCAACTGCGAACATCACAATCCAGTCAGATCACAAATTCTTGACCTCCCGAATTGCGAGCCGACTTCAAGGACGTTATTGTGCCCGTCATGCCTCAGCCCCGGCGCCGACTCCATGTCCTTATTCACATCATATACGAAAGTCGAGCCTCTGCTGACGTCACAGTATGCGAGGCATCTCTTGCGGCTGGGGCGACGACGCACGCTAAACCGGACAGAAGGAACGACTGAAGCGTGGCTTTGATTTAACCAGTTGAGATGCTGACGGTGCAAGCTGGTATCGGCATCGTTGTGCTGGTTTCGCAGCTTTCAAGGCTTCTCCGGATCCGATCATCCGCGCACAATGCACAGTAGGGGTCGATATCTAAATGCACAAGATCGGAAAACACCGGCTCAAAACGGCAACCAGGAAGCGGAGCCCACCTCGTGTAGTTTCGCCAGCGCAGCCTCGACGTCCGCCTTTTGCTTGCTGGCCATCAGCGCGTAGCTCTCCAGCACCGTGTGCCGCAGCGGGAGTGGACCTTTAGACGACGTCGCGATCTGCGCACGCCCAAAACCAAAGTTTCGAGTGATGCCCAGCTAACACTTTGCGACCCGTCGAATCCCTCTACAGAGTGTTTAGAAACTGTAGCTTCAAACTCTTGAGAAATTTTTGTGCCATCGCTTTCCCGATGACGACTGCCAAATTTGCACAAAGAAGGTTTCTGACCCTCGAGAAAAGGGCTCTGAATCGTGGAGATAGGGAACCCGCGTAACAACGGAATTTGGATGCGTACGTCAAGATCCGCTGAGTTGCTGCCAAACCAGCACGACACCAGCCCTATGGCTTATGATTCGCGCACTCACTTCTTGCAGCACTTTCTTAGCGGCCTTGGTTGCTTCGGCGTTATCCCCCGGGCCAACCTTCTCCCCCGCGTCGCTCTGACCCTCCTCCCACAGGTTTTCGTTCTCCGGGTTGAGATAAACCTCCGCCATAGCGTATGCCGCCCGGACGCTCCACTCCGAATCCCGCCGAGCCTGCACGTGACCGCTCGAATAGAACGAATGCCCACATGGCTTGCGGCGACACACAGAGGTCACATATAGTTACTGCGGGTCGCCGCGATAGTGTTGCAGGTGGTTTATTCTGGCGACTTCGAAGGCGGAGTTTCGGGCCACTCAGTCTCTGTGTGAGACACGTCAGGCGAGGACCGCTGTTGAGGAAGCGTACGTTGCAAGCTCGTTTAACAACCGCCCGCAAAGGTCCCAGAAGATTTCGAGGACCTGTAGATTTAACTCTGAAATAACAACGTCTGGGCAGTAAGCGTACTTGGTTAACTTCGTTCCCATCCCAACGTTCTGACCCGCAAACTCCTCATTGCGTGATCCATTGGACCGGCCAGTCTTACTGGAATGGCCCATTTTGTGTGAGTTTTGATCCAGAAATGCTTCTTCAGAACAGAAGACACGCTAAATGAAAGGGGGCCAAGAGCTGCTCCATAATAGATAACAAGACCGTCTTGTTAAAAGGGGCCGCAATACGCGGGATATCCACCAAAGACTAAAGCCGTGGACTCTCAGCTGTGCTTAGTCCCCCACCTGGTTGAGCTCTTTGAGTGCGTCGTTGGGCGCGCAGCTGTGGCGCGCGTACATCCCCTTGCAGAATCGGTACCCCGCCTCCACCTCCGCGTGCGGGTTCGCCTTCTCCGCGTTCTTAAACAGCGCGGGGACTTCAGAGAGGCGGCCGCACCGCCGCATGAGCTGCATTATGCGGTGGCGTCGAGATTCGGAGAGTATAACCCCAAAAGCAGAGCATTGTCACGGCTGTCCGCGGACAAGGCCATGGAAAACTATTTCCGAGAAAAAGTTGACAGCTTATTTCGCTTGATAACTAGGCGCTTGAACGGTCAGGACAGGCCAAAAGTCGGACGCTTTGACTGCGCTTTGTCCATCCAAACTCAAGCAGTCCTAAATTTTGGCTTGAGCTAAAGGCTCTGGGTTTGATGCACGCATGCATCTTAGACGGGCCAGCATTTAAAGTCCACGCGTTTAACCACTTGATGAACAGATCAAGCAGACTAAGTCCGCGCGCGCGCACCTGTATGAGCTGGTGCAGCGCGCTGTGATTGCAGGGCGCCTTTTTGGCGCACGTTGGACGAGCCAGCATCTGAGGGGAACGACCTTAATCGCATACTTCACCAGTGCAGAAACTGGGCGCGCGCACCTGTATGAGCTGGTGCAGCGCGCCGTAGTTGCAGGGCGCCTTTTCCAGGAGCTGCTGGAAGTGGTACACCGCGGAGTCGTACTGCTCCTTGCGGCACATGACGTCAGCGATCATCAGGCTCGCGTCAGCGTTGGTCGCGTCCACGCGCAGCAGCGCCGTGCACTGCGCCTGGCACGCGTCCTGCGCGTGGGGTTTGAGGGTTTAGCAGTGATTTGATTGAGGATTCGGGTGTGACTCGGTTCGCTTAACAACATAAATTGGAGGATCAGCTAACGAAATGGGGGGCCACAACTGGCGAACTTGAAAGCTCCTCAGGTGCAATATTCCAGGTGTTAAGCCGCTTGGTTCGCCTATAAGGTGCGTCCGTTTCTTCAAAGTCGCTTAGGAAAATTCACACCATCGCTATAATTCTGATAGCGAAGAATTTTCTTTCGCTTCGCATTTGTTTGCAGCTAAAGTTTCGCAGAGTAATCAAGCGGAAGGCCCGATCCAGACTGCGTGCCAAGCTGCGCAAACGGCTCATGCTGCCGACAACACCCTCATTCCAAGAAGTTGCACTCCCGCAAATAACGATTCAGCCTGTAACCAAAGTAGGTGAGCCTTTGGTAAAAGAACTTTCGTCAGAAAGGTATGTTGTCGCTGAAGGTGACTCGAATCAAACAGCGCCACACTGAGCCGTCAGCTGCCACCATGCTCGGCGTGAAAAGCGGGCGAAGGCGACCATTTGACTGCGCCGCCCACTCACCAGGTCGCCCGTTTGGAGGTAGAGCCGCGCTAACGAGAGCATTGTGGGCACGTGCCCCTCCGCCTGCTTCAAACCCTCGTGGTAGAACCCCGCGGCCGCGTCGGGCGCCTTGGCGGCCTCGCTGTCGCGCGCGAGCATCTGGCAGATGTCGGCGGCAATCTGGAGCGGAACAGAAACGACTCGTCAGGTTTCGTGCGTCAGAAGTCAATTTAACTTTCATTGTTCAGAAAGAAAGTTTCGTGGTTCAGGACTCCAGGATTTTGTGGTCCGGTTCGTGAATCTTTTGGTGTTATCGCAAAGGTTGTGTCTTTGAATTTATGCTTTCTTGAGAGCAAGAGTCCAAATCCTGAAAGCAATGAAGTTGCGAAAGAGCACAAGGAAGCATTAGATTTTGCAGCTCGAGAAGAAGAGTCCTCGAAAGAACGGAATCTTCTCCTCTGTGGTCAAAGCAGGGGGGATACGGGAAACAACAGCGCCTCTCAACGTTGATCAAAAAGGTGCAGAGAGCAGCATTCGGAGACCAAACAGCAGCAAGCGCAGGCTGCGAGCGAAACCACTTCACAAGCGGAACGGCTCCACAAGCGGAACGGCTATATAAGCGGAACAGATCCACGGGTCCCACACCTGTTTCTGCACGCGCACGGTGTCGGGCTGCTCGAGCCGCGTCTTGGCGAGGACGGCCTCCTGCGCGGTGCGCGCGCGCAGGAGCGCGCCGTGCGCGTCGTCCTTCTTCCCGCGCGCCTGGTGGACCTTGGTCAGCAGTAGCAGCGCCTGGACCTCCTGAGAAAGGAGGGAGTGACGTCAGCGGTGCGCTTGATGCCGTCAGCCAGAGGAGAAGAGGACCGTCTGTCTGGGTGCTGAAGATAGAGAGGGAGGGGAGGGAGAGTTGACTCCTGCGGTGTAGATGATTTGCCAGAGAAACGGAGGGGCCGTATTGCACACGATTGCACTGGAGAGCTGACCAGAAGTGTCGCTGCGAAAGAGATAAGAGAGGTAAACATTGGAGGAGAATGGTCATAACACGAGTAGGACAAAGGGAGGGGCCGCAGACATGAATTGAATTGAATGATTTAACGACTCAACGGGGGCTTGCACCAGACCTTTTAAGCATACCACAGGTCAGATCGTCACGTCACACCCCTTTGAGCGGCGACGTTTCTCACCTGCATCAACGCCTGCGCGTCGCCCAAAGTTTCATCGTCGTCCGCAGCCCCGCGTTCCAAAATCTGCGCGAGCGCGCGCTCGCACTCGTCCAGTTTCTTGAGCTTGAAGTAGAGCGCCGCAAGATCGTACTGCATCCCGCGTTTCTCGGCGCCGGGTGCCACGTGGCCGCCGGTGAGCGTGGCCTCGTAGTGCGCGAGCGCCTTGGCGTAGCTGTGCGTCTGGACCAGCGCGCGGCCGATGCGGGCAACTAGAGCAGCGTCGTTTGGATTCCGCTGCAGACCCGGCGCTTATAATCAGGGGGTTTATTTTTAAGACGGGATGTAAGCACGAGGAAAAGGCAGCGAGGAGAGATTGGCGCGTCTGAGGAAAGGATCGGACTGAAAGTCGAATGTACGGTGCATAGAACGTTTTTCGGAAGTCCATAGTAAGGCACCGGTCAAAAGATGTCAACCTCATGTTTGCGGATTCATGGTAGAAGCCCAAAAGCTGAGTTGAAATGCAGGAGTATGATATTTTCAGGTGGGTGAAGTTCGGAGAGACCGCTCAATTTTGCGATCCACATCAGATGTTGCACCGCAGCTCAGCGCGCTGATGCCTGGCCGAGGGTATCAAAGCCGAAGTTCGGTAAAATGTAGTTAAAGGTGGGTTCGCTATGAGCACGAGACGCATCGCTAAGAATGGGTTGCCAAGTACGATAATCGCAAGATTTCAGGATGTTAGCCTCTCACCCGAAGCGCTTCCTGAAAGGCGGCGATGGCTTTCGCCGGGTCCTGGATGCGCATGTACGCCTCCCCCAGCATCATGTACACTTGCGGCGTCTTGAACCTGCACGACGAGGAGAAAGGGCTGGGTTGCTCTACCGAGACCGAAGTCGCCGCGACCTACAGCACGGGGCCCGTTGGCCGACAGGCTTCCATGGCGACAACGACAAAGAGCAAGGTACGAGCTGTTTCTGGGACTTGCAGGCAACAATCTTCGAAGTTCTTACAGCGTTTACGCAAGGATTTGGGTTCTCTCAGCAACCGCGGTTGGGAGCGCTTCTCAGCTCCTTCTCCTCTTAACAATCGTCCAAATTTCCAAAAGCAACTTGCACACCGCCTTTTAGATCAATATAAAATGTATTCACATCGTTTACGCAGCTTGCAAAACGAAGCAGAGAATGGACGTCTCTGGACGGTGCCAAACTATGGTGACGCTGGAGAGAACCGTACCGTTCTGCCAACTCAGCGTAGCTCTGCGCGTATGCGGCGCGGTCTTTGCGGTGCTTGAGCAGAATATCCGCCATAGCCACTTTCGCCTTGACGAACTGCGGGCTGTCCTTGGGGATGGCCCGCAAATAGGAGAGCGCCACGTCAGTGTCCCCGCGCGCGAGTGACAGCTCGCAGTTGGCGATGATCACGCGGACCTGCGGGGCAAGATCACAGGCTCTTGATTAAAAGCTCAACGGGATGTGTTCAGGAAAACCCTCTTCTGTTTGGAACAAATGCCTGGTTAGATCTTTGATGCGGACTCGCAGTCACTTTAGCAGTCACTGTTGCGCTTCTCTTTCCTCGGTACTTGCTTACGGTAGCTTGTACCTCGTTAACTTCCCGGTGGTTCCAAAGACCCGGGAATAACCCGGGCCCGGGTCCGGTACGCAGAATGTCATTGGAAACTTCACAGATCGACTCCTGCAGTCACGGCGTTAGGGACTCGGGATAAGACTTTCTAAGAGAGGCAACGAACTATCCGAGCGGACGATCTTACTGCGAAGATAGTTCACCGTTGATACCTGTCCTTCCGCATCTTTAACCGCTCTATCTCCAATAAGCGACATTTTTACACTTGGACTAACTTCTTCAAACCGGAAAGCGCACCTCTTCCGGCGTTCCGGCGAACTCGTTCATCGCGTCTTGGACCACCTTGGTCGCCTCCGGCACGTGCCCCAGCTTCAGCTGCGCGGCCGCGAGCGTCAGATAGATATCCACCCGGTCGCTCAAAGCCGCGGAAGGAGTGCCCGGTTGAGACCCTCCGGCTGACGTCATGCTCGGTCGGCGCGCCACGTGTTTGACTCCAGGAAGGCTCATTGCGCCCTCAAGTACCTAGCGAAGGAGAGACGGGAAAGGGTTAGCTAAAAGATGTAGATCAGAAGAAAAAGATGCAAATTGGTTTCTTCAGAGCATGCCCATATGTTGTCGAGTACTTCCGAGCAGATTCCTGAGGTTGGGCCGATTGATCGTTTCTGTTTCTAATTGCTTGAGAATGGGCACCAGAGACGGTCTTGGGTGCGTAGTTTTCACGCAGAGAGCCGTTGTTGCGTTTCCTCCCACAAATCAACACATTGGATCATCAAATTCAGATTATTCTGCTTTAAGACGGAAAGCACGGAGTCGGCGGCTTTAGCTGCAACATTCCGCTGGGATGGCATGGACATAATTCCGTTCTCAACGGAACGCTTGCCTTGACGGCCTCCTCGGGCTGCCCCCCGGCCAGATGCACTTTGGCGAGCACGGCAGCGTAGTGCGGCGAGTTCCGT